GATTGGGCTCTTATTGACACTCAATGACTTTGACATAGCCCTTGAAACTCCCAAGCCGATTCTGACTGATCAAAGTACAAGGGCTGAGAAAGCTGATGCAGATAGATGGGTCAGAGCAAACAAAGTGGCACTTTCTATACTTGAAAGTGCTATGACTGATACTGTTCGCGGTGGAATCAAGAAGCATGAACTAGCTATTGAGTATTTACAAGCAATTGAAAGAAAGTTCAAAGAATCTCAAAAGGCAGAAATCAGTCACTATATGGCAATGCTGACCACATACAAGATTGATGGCATAGGGTCAATCAGAGACCATATCTTGAAAATGACTGATGCAGCTGAGAAATTAAATTCTTTAGATGTTAATATTGGTGAAAAACAGTTAGTTTTCATGATCCTTCAAGCTCTTCCAAACAAATATAGTCAGTTAAAGGTGTCTTACAACACTCAAGACAAGAACTGGGATGTTGATGAGCTAATTGCACAGTGCGTTCAAGAAGAGGCTAGACAAGCAAGAAAGAGGGAAAGAAACTGAAACGGTGAATTTTGTGCAACCAGACAAGGGGAAGAAATCATTCAAATCATTATCTGGACACTCTGGTAAGAACAACAATACCAAGGTAACCTCTTTTAAGTCTACTGCATCTGCCAAAGTAAAAGACTCTATTAAGGGATCTAGCAATCTTATGGTCAAAACTAAAAAATATTGCCAAACTCAGATGTTTTTTTCTGCAAAACTAAAGGACACTTAAGAAAAGATTGTCAAGTTTTTCAGGACTATCTTAAAAGTAAGGGTGTAGAAAATGTCAATGTCTGTGTTGAGTCTAATTTGATTGAAATCCCTGTGAATTCTTGGTGGTTTGATACCGGTTGCTCAGTTCACATTTCAAATTCTTTGGAGGGTTTTGTGAAATCAAAACAAACTGGTTTAAAAATTATAATGTCTTTGTGGGAGAAGGTACTAAAGTTGCGGTAGAAGCTATAGGTATGGTGTGTTTAAAATTGTCTTCTGGTTTTATACTAAAACTAAAGGATGTGCTTTATGTGCCTAAAATGAGGAGAAATCTGATCTCTGCTTCAAGAATTGTCAAAGATGGTTTTGCCTTTCTAGGTGATGATGAAAGTTTAAAATTTTTTGAAAAGAACCACCTAGATTGTGTTTTGGGAACTGCATATTTGAGTGACAATCTGTGGTGTCTAAATTGTACTTTGGAGTCCCCAAATCAACATGTTTTAAACATCAGCACTAAGAGGATGCACTGCAGTGATGATTCTTTCCTCCTTTGGCACAAGAGGTTAGGCCACATATCCAAAGAAAGAGTTTTAAAACTGTCCAAAGCTCAGTTGATCCCTGAATTAAATCTTGCTACTGCAATTGAGTGTGTTGATTGTGCAAAAGGGAAGATGACTAATTCTAGAAAGTTAGATGCCAAAAGGAGTCAGAATTTGCTAGAGATTATACACACTGACATCTGCGGTCCTTTTCCAACCAAAACTATTTGCGGTAATTCTTATTTTGTCAACTTTATTGATGATTTTTCAAGGTTTTGTTACACTTATTTAATCAGTGAGAAATCATATGTCCTAGATTATTTCAAGGTTTATAAAACTGAGGTAGAAAAACAGTTAGGCAAGACCATTAAGATTGTTAGATCGGATAGAGGATGAGAGTATTTTGGCAGGTACAGTGAGGCTGGACAACACAAGGGTCCGTTTGCGCTTTATCTTGAACAACAAGGCATTGTTGCTCAATACACTACACCAGGAACACCACAGCAAAAACGGAGTTTCAGAAAGGAGGAATCGAACTCTGATTGGAATGGTACGAAGCATGATGACAAGATCAAAGTTACCAGGATTCCTATGGGGTGAAGCATTGAAGACAGCCACTTATATACTGAACAGAGTTCCGAGCAAAGCGGTTTCATCAACACCTTTTGAAATCTGGAATGGCAGGAAGCCCAGTTTTAGTCATTTCCATGTTTGGGGATGTAAAGCTGAGGCTAGAATTTACAATCCAAATGAGAAGAAATTGGACTCAAGGACAGAATCATGCTACTTCATTGGCTACTCAGAGAAATCTAAAGGCTTCAAGTTTTATTGTCCTCAAGCTCACACCAGGATTCATGAAACTCATAATGCCAGGTTCTTTGAAGATCAAGATATTGCAGACTTATCACAGGGCAGTTTCATTTTTGAAGAGATTGATCAAAATGAGAAGTTTTTTTGCAGTAATTCTTACAAAGAAATGTTGATCACTCCTACTTCCATGATTGAATTGGAGGAAGAACAATTAGACTGTCCAAAAAATATTGACAGAATGGAAATTGATCTTGGGTCCCAACCACAGCAACAAGGGGATCCAACTCCAACTAATGATGCACCAATGAATCCGAGCACTGAAGTTCTCCATGATCCGACATTACCATTGAGACAATCTTCAAGAATCAGAAAAACCACAATGTCAAATGACTATGTTTATTTGCAGGAGCATGAGTTTGATTTTGGCGATGTGGATGACCCTCTCACTTATTCTCAGGCCATGAATAGTTCTCAACAATCCTTATGGCACAGTGCAATGAAGGAGGAATTGGAGTCGATGTCCAAAAACGAAGTATGGACATTAGTGGATTCCAATCCTCAATTCAAGGCTATTGGGTGTAAATGGGTTTATAAGACCAAAAGAGATGCTCACGGCAATATTGAAAGGTACAAGGCAAGGTTAGTTGCCAAGGGATTCACTCAGAGGGAAGGGGTGGATTACAATGACACCTTTTCTCCCGTCTCTTCCAAAGATTCTATGAGGGTCATAATGGCACTTGTTGCTCATTTCAATCTGGAACTGCATCAAATGGATGTTAAAACTGCCTTTCTTAATGGTGAGCTGGCCGAAGACATTTATATGAAGCAACCTCCTGGATTTGTTGAAAAGGGGAAAGAAGACATGGTTTGTAAACTTAACAAGTCAATCTACGGGCTTAAACAGGCATCAAGACAATGGTTCTTAAAGTTTGATCAAGTAGTTACAAGGCAAGGTTTTGTGGAAAACAAATTAGATGATTGCATCTATGTTAAATTTTCAGGCACTAATTTTATATTTTTAGTGTTGTATGTCGATGACATCCTTCTTGCCAGTTCTAATATGAAGCTGCTCAAAGACACTAAGACCATGCTCAGTAAGAATTTTGAAATGAAGGACCTTGGTGAAGCACACTATGTACTTGGTATTGAAATTGTTCGAGATAGATCAAGGAATTTACTCGGTTTATCACAAAAGGGATACATAGAAAGGGTACTCATGAGGTTCAATATGTCAAGCTGCAGTAATGGTGAAGTACCAGTCAACAAGGGAGACAGATTCTCAAAGGCTCAATGTCCCAAGACGCCTATGGAGATAGATAAAATGAAGAATAAGCCTTATGCTTCATTGGTGGGAAGTTTGATGTATACAACTATCTGCACTAGACCGGACATAGCTTTTATAGTTGGAATGTTGGGCAGGTTTCAAGCAAATCCAGGAGAGGCACATTGGGTAGCAGCAAAGAAAGTTTTGAGGTACTTGCAAAGAACCAAGAATTATATGTTGGTTTATGGCAGGAATGAGCTATTGGAGTTAGTTGGCTACACTGATTCTGATTTAGCCGGTGATGTAGATGATAGAAAATCTACTGGAGGTTATATCTTTATGCTAAGTGGTGGTGCAGTCTCCTGGAAAAGTGCAAAACAGACTATCATCGCAACATCGACAATGGAGGCAGAATTTATAGCTTGTTTTGAAGGAATGAAACAAGCTGTATGGTTGAAAAACTTTGTGACAGATTTGAAAGTTGTAAATTCTGTGCAAAGGCCTATCATGATGTATTGTGATAACAATTCTGCAGTATTTTTTAGCAAGAACAATAAGAGAACTTCAGCTTCAAGACTGATGGATGTAAAATTCCTTAAGGTCCGAGAAAAGGTTAGAGAATGAGCAATTCAGGTGGAGCACTTAAGCACAAATGTAATGATTGCGGATCCTTTGACTAAAGCATTGCCGATTGGAGTATTTAAAACGCATGTCTCTCGGATGGGAATACTTGAATCCTTTGATCAGTGGGAGTAATTCGTTAGTCTTATTATGACTGTTTATTCGCTGCTGTGAAGTTCAGAGAGCTGGTGTGGTGATATAGACAGGTTTCAAATTTCAAATTTAAAATCTTATGGCTGGATAGTATTATGTTTGTTAGTTTGTTTTGTTTATTTTATCGAATTGAGATCAGTTATGATGATCTATTGTTTCGAACAAAATAAAGTTTGATATAATTCATTTGTTGCTTTAATAATGGTTTCTCCGTTTAAAGCATTTAGTGATGAATTGTTGATTCATGCATTGTTTTGAAGCAAAGATTTGTTTTACATCTTGCTGACAATGATTTGAAATAGTGGGAGCAAATTATTTTGCTTATTACTGATATTGATCAAGTTCACAACGTTGAGCATACAAATTGAATGTCTGTAACTCTTGAAAACCTGTTTGCTTTATTGTGGTAATACAGTTACAAGCGTTCTGCATTTTGAGATGTATGATAGCTGGTTGTGATTGAAATTTTATTAACAAGACTAGTGATCACTTCTATCTGCACATAATTGACTTGGCTGAGTACTTAAAACTGTTCTCATACTCAAGTGGGAGAATGTAAGAATATGAGTATGAGATAGAGGAGTTTTAGGACCGGCTATATGTGTTCAATTGGATAGAAAAGTCTTGATAATAAAAGGAATGCTAATCCCTTATGAAGAGGGATTCTGTACAGCATGAAGATCAGAACAAGGAGACAAGATTTGTTTCCTACATGGATTTTGATAGGGAATCCTAATCAGTTATGGTAAAGATTATATGTATATATATAGTGGCCTCTCTTCTCACAGGTGAATGTTGATATTCTAGACTTAATCCTATTTATAAGTCGAGCTCTTGATAACCTGCGAGAGAAGAGAAGGTACACTGAAAGTTTGCGGCTATGGCTTCGGGTTCTGCTACAAGTGCAGGTATGTTTATGGAGACTCATCAATGATTTCATACCTGCCCGAGCAATCCTGGCAAAGCAGCATATAACTACGTATTTGGGATGTGTCCTTATGGAAGAAGGCCCTTTTGCAAAATGTGCTTGGTTGGCTTCAAGTCTTGGACCTTTATTGAGGAATACCCAACATCCTAACTTCCTGTTGTGGATGGATGATGTTGCGAGGTTAGTTCCAAAGAAAATTTTTGATCTTTTCCTCATGATTTGTAGGTCTTTGTGGGGAGCAAGGAGCGGCAAACTATGGAATGATAGGACCGACCCTCCTGATGTTTGTGTAACTCGAGCTACATAGTGGTGGCATGCGTTTGTTAGAACTTCGGCGCCAGGTCTTGCGGCTCAGGTGCCAGTTTTTCCAAGTGGATTGTGTTAGAATTAAACATAAACCAATAACAAGTTATATGAGCTACTGTTATCAAAACACAAATCAATGTTCATTAAACCAATGTATAGAGAAAACCGTACCTGTAGATGAACTTGAACCGGTTGCCATATCTGATTTCTGTAACAATGTTGCAGTGCACCTTCTCCTCTCTTCAGTGTTCAAGGTTCTCAACTAATAATAGGTCTTAGTCTTGTATTGAGTTCACACTGCGAGAGCAAATGCCACCATATATATACTATACAATCTTAACCAAATTCTATAAGGATTCCCCTATTAAAATCCATATGGAATACCAATTCATTCCAAATAGCAGTCCAGTTACGACATGGATTTACAAATCCATTCTCAACAAGACTTCATATTCAATCTCTAATCCTACAACCAAGTTTACCGATTCATACTCATGCTCATATTCTAACAGATTGCTCCACCATCAGGACGCCTCAAACTGAACATTGATGGGGCTTGGAACGGGGAACGCAATATGGCAGGCTTTGGTGCCATTGTTCGTGACGGAATAGGGAATTTTGTGGCAGCTAAATGTGGTGGGGAAGACGATGTTTTCTCTCATCTCCAAGCAGAAGCGATGGCCTTAAGGGCAAGTTTGTCTTGGGCAGTTGACTGGGGATTTCAATATATGTTATTTGAATGCGATTCACTTCAAATTGTCGAGGCATCGTGCGATCTTTCTCTAAATTTGTTGTCGATTGGCCAAATTGTGGAAGATATCAAGGTGCTTCTCTATTCAATTACTGAAGGTAAAATTACCCACACTCAACGTCAAGCAAACTCGATTGCCCATTGCCTTGCATGAATTGGTCTTTCGGTGCAACAAGACTGTATATGGAATGTGACTCCCCCAAGTATTGTCACCGACTTACTTGTGGAGGATAATGCAATGCCATGATCGACTCTTATAAGTAACTACCATATCTTTTTCCCAAAAAAAAAAAAAAAAAAAAACTTACTTAAGGACAAGAAAATGATGGTATTACCCTTCAAAATGTGTTGTGACTTGAGTTGATGAAAAATTAGATAGAATAACTTTGAAAACAATAATAGGGATGAAATTAGCATTTTTTTTTATGAATTTAGGGACTTTATCAAAAAAATAAGTTAAGTACCTAATTTTCACTCAAATGATAATTCAAAATCTAAATTGGCAAATTCATCCATAATTTTTTTTTTCACATCTCTACACCTAACTACGAATCTACATTCCTTTAATTTAGTGTCGAATATTATTTGTATAAGAAAATTATTTTCTCTTTGTCATATATTTTTTTGTAAACTTTCGTTTGACCTCTTGAACTATTACCCTTTTTTTTGGTAAAGTAAACTCCTAAATTATTTGAAATTAGCCTTTCGTTTAACCATTCACCATAAAATTCGATGAAATTTTATCTACTTTGCTGTCAAATATTGGCACGTGACCAGCACACGATTCACTCTTGAGTGTAAAGTTGTGTCAGTATTAAATGACAAAGTGGACGAAATTTATCGCAGTTGATAGTAAGAGGTTTTAGTTGGCTGATTTCAAATAGGTTAGGGGTTAATTTACTAAAAAAAAAAATAGTTCAAGCCGTCAACTTAAGTCTTAAACTGAACTAATAGTTAATTTGTTTAGGGATTAAACGGTAATTTACTATATATTTTTATATGTTCGGTAAACGCTCACCACCCGGTCTTGGTTACTAAACTGGAAAATAATTTAAAAACGGGGAGAAAAAAGAGACTGTGCTGGTCAAGACGCCTCATGCACCAGATGGACCGTCTCATCTGCCTCTCTTTCCGGGGATAGAGAGAGAGAGAGAGAGGGAGGGAGGGAGGGAGGGAGAGAGCAACTGCTAAAATCGCCGCCGATCGGGACCAACTCAGTATGCAATTAAAGCCCTTCAACTCCTTCAGCATCGCCTTCATGATGAGCGGCGCACTCTTGCTCGTTTTCTTCTGCAGCTTCCTCGAATTCCCTTTTCTATCAACCTCAATCAAACCCATCAACGATCCGACCAAGTTCACACCCGACCCCTTTACCAACTTGATCGGCGCCTTCAGGAAGTGGGATGCCCAAGTGGGTTGCTCTCGTTTCAGAGAGAAGCACAAGCTGCAGATGTTGCAGAACAAGTCTTCTTCTCTGCAACAAATTCGCGGCGAATCGGAGTGTGGGGAGGCGAAATCGGAGCATGTTAGCGTGCTGGTGAAAGGGTGGACTTGGATTCCTGATAATTTGGATAGTTTGTATTCATGCTCGTGTGGGTTGAGCTGTTTGTGGACTAAATCTCCTGTTCTTGCTGACAAGCCTGATGCTTTGCTGTTTGAGACTACTACACCTCCCCTTCAGGTACTCCATTTTCTTTCTAAATGTTGTAACTTTCATTGATTTCAATTAATTCGTATTATATGTATATATGTATGTATGTATATGTGTGTTTTTACATTATAGCTTGGTTTCTTCGGATCATGATTTATTGATAGAATGTGGTTAAATCTCCAAGAATTTTCTTTTTAATTTTAGAACACATTTATAGGGCGAGCATTTGGAATGATAAACGGAAATATAGCAGACAGTGGCAGATCTAGGAATTTTTCCTCGTGAGTCCGAAATTATGCCCCAATTTTTACTTTCCTTAGGAAAGTTGCTTCTTTGAGCTTTTTTCTTTTTTTTTCTTTCTGCAAACATTTCGGGGGAGAACACTGGAAATTAAAGGGAAAATACCTTAAAAGTACAATGCGAAGAGATTGAACTGGTGCAGTCGCTTGACTACATTCCGTTCCATTTTTTATCCACCACAGTAGGAAGAAGACTCCGCTTCCCCACTTTTTCTGTGTTGAGGTTATGGGAGGGAGTAGTAAAAGACTATATTCAATGCAGGTCAAGAGCTATATATGTATCCAGTTTCTTCTGGTCCATGCTTTTACATGATTAACTCGTATTTAAGAGCTACTTGATTCTTTTACTTGGAAAGTGCACGAGGCTTACTACTACAAGATAGGGAAAGGAGCTAGACCTCTATGGTTACTGCCTTGCGTTAGCACTTTGCACTCCCATTACATACTTGCAGTAGCATTATGTAAATTCCCTTGAGTACTTGTGGCAACAGTTTATAATGTCACTCTAGTGTCTTGCAACTTTACAATAGGATTTTTTATTGGTTGGTAGATGCAATAGGAGTTTGAGTTCTGCAAGCGCTTTACCAATGTTTTCGTTGTTAATTCACTAGGATAAGTAGGCTTCTCCTCTTACTTTCCTCCTGAAGATGAGGGATTCTTCATACAATAGAAAGCTAGGACCTGTGAGAACCTACCTTAATGATAGATTGAAGAGTGCGCTTGTGAAACTAGAGTGGAACTAGAGAATTTTCTCCTGTTTTCTGTGTTTGTACAGCATGTAACTCGTATTGGAATTACAGCCCCAACCATTTTCATATGAAAAAGGTTACTGCACTACCAGGTGTTCTTAGTGTAGCATGCTTGGACCAGACTAGATGGGTGATGTTCTAAGAAGTCTTTTTGTTCAGTTGCAGTTCTTTGTATCTTCATTGTGGCAATCTGCTGATTTACCATAAAATGCTCCTACTCTAGGAAAATTAATGTCTCAAATATATAATGAAACTAGTACACAATATGCACAATGCATGGGTTTCTATAAAGAGAAGTACAAGAAGTAAAATTATATTTTGCGCTTGAGGTAATGATCTAGCTAATGAGGTTCTAACTGTGGCGAGTTTATTGCTGGATAAAGAGAAGTAAAAGCCTCTACGTTGCATTTCAAGCATACAAGTCATATAAATGATAAATATGTTCTCTAAAAATCAAAGAATGAAATAAGTTCCTCAAAGCTGGAAGTGGATACTTTTTTTTTCTTTTCTGATAGGAAATACAAGTCATATTCGTAAAAGTTGAAGGGGTAAAAATGTCCGGTAGGATGGAAATTTTTGTGTATTTTATAGTCTATGAAACTGAAGGGTTGCCTTTCTGATCTCTCTTTTACCTCAGGAGCTAGTGCTTGCCATCTTAGAATTTCTTTTCATCAATTCTTTGATGTTTTCATCTCACTATGCTCCTGCGTCCTGCCAAACACATCTGCGCAAACAATCAATTTCAATTACCCATTGATGGGGGGACCTGCAAGGGGATGCTCATGCATGTAGCCTGAATGATTGAGATGTTACTATGCTAAGCATTTCTCTGAACGTATATAATGAGTTTGGAAGATATTTGGACCTTTAATAGTTACTGTGCTTTGATATTATGGAGCAAACTGTTGAGTAAAGCAAAGTTAATTTGGGATCTACATTTGGTTCTCTTACTTTGATGCGTGTCATTGTAGAGTGAGATGTGACGGTAATCTTGAGGGTTATTTGGTAGAGCTGAATGAGAGGATCTTCGAAACTTATGTGATGGGTGGGGTTTGATCACTTCACTTGAGGGTAGAGTTCAGTTTTGGACAATCTTTGTGGTCATTTTAAATTAAGTTGATGTTATTCACTGTTCCATCTGGAAAATACACTTCGGAGTTTTAATGACATAATCTATGGGACCAAGTACATTAATCTTGTTACATATGGAGACTCAAAGACAATGAATCTACGTATACATTTTGTAAACTGCATTTATTGCATAAGAAACTTGAGAGACCCTTATTTCTTGTCCTTTTCAACCTGGCTTCTGCATCAAAACTGAAGGTGAGGCTTGTAGTTTTCTTCCTCATAGTCGGTAAGTCATTCAGTGTTTAAGAAATGCAGTAGTTTCTTTTTCTTTTTTTTTTTATTGTTCAAGATGGAATGAGTTACTATCAGCTTAGGGCCCAACTTCAAGGTAAGGGGTTTATATGATAGTGTTATAAAATTTATCTATCTTGCTACAAGTATGAAAACCGTGACATTTTCCATGGATTTTGTGTTTATACAATATCACTATTTTTGAAGTTAGACAAGTCTATTGAAATGTTTTGGGGTTTATCCAGATTGATATATGGATGTATGGACTTTGAGATTATTTATGAAGCATGAGAACTTCACTGATGTGTTATTTGAGGGGATAAAAGTGCCATGTGGGGACGTAAAGCAGTGAAGTGATTTAGGCGTAAGTGGAAGTCTCACCCTGTGAGGCGATTTAGGTGCACGTAGTGGCCCCATATTATGAAGTTAACATAAATATAAAAAGACAATGTAATATAGGGATGTAAGGCAGTGAAGAAATTCTGGGGACGTAAGGCAGTAAAGCGGTTTAGGTGTAGGTGGCGATCTCATGTTTTGAAGTTAAAAGTGCTGTGTGGGGACAACATAAAAAAAAAGGTCGTACCCAGTGCACAAGGCTCCCGCTTTACGCAGGGTCTGGGAGAGGTGAATGTGTGGGGACAACATAAACCAGCAAAATGATTTAGGTGCGTGTGGCAGTCCCATGTGATGAAGTTATTCTAAATATAAAGGGATAATGTACTATGATACAGTGTGATTTATACTTTAAGATAAATATGAAATTCTTTAGCGTGTAAAATGACTCTGCTTGACTAGGAGATACAAAAAATAATCACTTGGCCCATTGAAGCTCACCCTCCAGGCTTCTTATGGGCAGGACAAGTTAGGCCAAATGAGATTTTAGATATTTTCGGATAAGTTTTCACTTTCTGTACCTGTAGAGAATTCACTTATTTCTATAGAAAAATACACTTTTTGCGTTATTTTATTTTATCACATGCTAGATTGTGGAAATATAAATTTACAGAAAGGAAAGATTAAAAGGAAGTTTGGAGAAAATTAATTAAAAAAGGTGAATATTTATTAATTTGTTGTGTAAGAAAAGTTTTATTTTTTAGAGATAGGTATGCATCATTTTACGTTAATGTAGGTTTAATTATCAAAATGCCTCATGAAGTATCACGACTGTATCACTTTCGCCCTTTCTTTTGCAACCATATCACTTTTCCCCTGGATTTCATTCCCTATTCCAGAATACTCAGTCTGTACAATTAACTTGCTCCATGATATCGACATAATCATGATGTCAATAATATGGATGACATATTTCCGACATATCGAGAATCTAGTAATCAAATGTTAACAGTAAATGGAAGGAGTTGACAAACTCTGGTAATGTGAGACACAAAGTGAAAGTTCAGGGGGGAAAAGTGATTAAGGTTCAAAAGCAGGGGGTAAAGTGATAAGTCGGGGGTATGTTCCGGGGGAGTTTTGATAAATAAGCTTTTAGTTTATATGACCTTTTTATTTAGTTCATATTTCGTTCTTTTTTTTAACTTTGGTTTTGGACTTCTTTTTCTTACTTTTCTGGCATTATATTTGTGGTCCTCTTTGTTTTATTTCATTTTTTATTTCATTAGTACTCCTTGTTCTGTTTATTTTGTACCGGGTTAGAAAGCTAACATGGGCAGTAATCTTGCTACAGCCTTATCTTGCGCATTATCTATGTACATTGTCTTGGTATGTCGTTTTCTAGGTCTACTTCATTGCCTTAATACTTTTTTTGGTTTTGTTAGAGACACAGTGGAGATCCACTTCGCGTGTACATGGATCTTGAGGCTGGCAGGAAGCGATCTGGTGTTGAGGATATATTTATAAGTTATCACGCCAAAGATGATGTGCAATCCACCTATGCCGGTGCACTCTTTCACAATGGTCGAAATTATCACGTGTCTCCCTATAAAAACAATGTAAGTACTTGGCTTCTTGTTCTTTCTGTGTTCTTTGCATACTGTTTTGCTTATTTCTGTTCATCTCTGTCGCATGATGTACATTTTCAAATATATACCGCTAGTTGTATGACTTTATCTGGAATTCTTTGAAGGATACACTTGTTTATTGGTCATCATCACGCTGTCTGTCTCAAAGAAATATTCTTGCCCATAAGCTTCTCAGCTTACTACCTCACCATTCATTCGGCAAGTGCTTGAACAACGTCGGTGGCTTGGACATGGCCCTTTCTTTCTACCCCGATTGTGCCGGTGATACGGCCACCCAGAAATGGTGGGACCATTTGCATTGTGCCATGTCTCACTATAAGTTTGTTCTTGCTATCGAAAACACAATGACAGAGAGTTACGTGACGGAGAAGCTATTTTATGCCCTAGATTCCGGTTCAGTTCCAATCTACTTTGGTGCCCCTAATGTCTGGGACTTTGTTCCTCCCCATTCGATAATCGATGGCACTAAATTTAAGAGCTTGGAGGAATTGGCGTCTTACGTGAAGTCCCTCGCCAACGACCCAGTTGCGTATGCCGAGTACCATGCGTGGCGAAGATGCGGGGTAATGGCGAATTACGTCAAAACCCGCGCATTGAGCCTCGACACATTACCATGCAGACTCTGCGAAGCTGTTAGCAGAAAAGGTGGGAGAAATGGAAGAACCAAGTGAAATTTTTATGTTTTATGTATAATTTGTATACAAGCACAGCTGATACATGTATTAGTGAAAAGAAGAGAAAACTGGGAATTGATTAGAAATGAAATTAACGGACAATTTTTGTCGAATTTATTTTCTGGTGTTGATCTTTCTTGTATTACAAGTTATAAGTGTCTGTGCGATGTTGTGTGTTTAAATTTTTTTGAAAATACATACATAATGAAAACAGATGTTATAGAAGGTGGACTCATAATTATCAAAAGCTTGGCAGTGCTCAACTACTCATTGCTTAAAAGATAGAGATACTATGAAAGTTAGATTTATGTACATTAGTTCATAGTTATCAGAAGATTGGCAATGTTCAACTGCTCATATTGTTTAAAACACAGAGATGCTACGAAAGCTAAATTTATGTACCTAAGTTGCAATGTTCAAAAGATAAAAATGTTACATACACGTCTATAGTTATTAGAAAGTTGACACTGTTCAAGTACATAGTTTGACGACCTTACTTTGGAGATCTTGATTCTTTCCACCCGTATCAAACAAAAGAAGAATAAGACTACAAACATAATCCGACGATCAAACTTTTATGTGTAGTTTGACTTGCCTAATCTTTCATAATCTCATTGATCTCTTGAATGTGTTACAATTTAGCATTCTCTATCCTACTATTAATAAATATAAGGGTTCTTTAGATATAGACCCTTGCAACTCTTATTCTCTAGATAAAAACCCACCTAATTCTAAACATCCAAATAAAACCCAAATTTGAAAAAATTACCAAGTAAAAAAGTAATTGACCTATTATTACAAAATATTTACAACTTGTGCCACAATATTCAAATCAAATCAATAAATGTTATTACTCACCTTAATTATAATGAACAAATAATTATTGCACATACTATTACCCCTAACATATACATACATACATATATATATATACATACACACACATATATATACACATACATATATATATATATAGACACACATACGTGAAAAGTATATAGTACTACTATAAGTTCAATATATATATAATTTACCAATAAGTACGACCATATGTCTTACCTATATATGTAAATTTATGATTAGCAAATAATATATATTTTGTAGGTAAATTAATAATGAATCAAATAACATTCTTTTATTTTTGTAGGTAACTTATTGTTCATATATTATTACATATATTTGACACATTTTATTATTATAAGATATGTTCAAATAATAGGTAAATTAACTTCGAATCAAATAACCTTGCTTTATTTTGTAAGTAAATTAATTTTGAATCAAATAGCATTCTTTTGTTATGTAGGTATTTTATTTTGTATGTATCAATATCATATATATATATATATGTGTGTGTGTGTGTGTGTGTGTGTATATTTGACACATTTTATTAAATTATTTTGGTTGTATTTTGCAATATTGGGTTTGTTATTATGTAGGTAAATTATTTTTCATGTATTTTACATATGTATATATGAAAAATAATTTATCATATATTAGATACACATATATACATATTTTGGGTAAATTATTTCATATATACATGTAATTTATATATGTATATATGAAAAATTATTTCACATACACATATATACATATTTTACATATCTTGGGTAAATTAAGTCAATAAGTTATTATATTTTACATATATTAATGTATATATGTGTATGTGAAATAATTTATCTACATTAATATGTAAAATATAATTTTATTGACTTAATTAAGCTTGTATAATAACATATATTAGACATGTTTTATGTTATTATATATTAGGCAATGAATTTATAACGTTAGTGGTTTGTTTTTCTTTTTGTAAAATCATTAATTCTTCCTTACAATCTGCATGACATTAATTATGTACATCAAACTTCTAAATAAGGTTTATCAATAAAAAAAAAATCAAATAGGGGTATTTTAGGCATTCGGAATTTTTAATTTGTGAAGTCAAATATAATTAATGAATTTGTTGATGTGGAATCTAGTTAATGGGTTTTATTCAAGTAAAAAACCTATGTCGGATTTTATATAGAGAAAATTAAGTTTTAAGAGCTAAAGTTATATTTTCAGTAAATATAATCGTCAAATCCTACCCTGTGGTTAAACAGTAAAATGATTAAAATATCCATTGAGTCGGCCCCAAATGTCTGTTATTTGCCATGCCGATAACAGTTGGCATATATTACATATAGGTTGTGTCACGGTCCTATGTCTTGAAGCCAAATGCCACAAGATTTAGGTGCAGGTGACGCGGCTTTATCCCTGTCTTTTCAGAAGACAGAGGCCCCGCACTTAGTATTTAGGAAGTAAAATGGACAGAAAGAGCCAAAAGCTGGCACAAATGGGAAGTGGCCCCAGAAACCCCCAACGATTTGATGAATTCGAAAGGGAAGCACAGGTAGTTGGCCTTTCCAACGTCACCTCTCTACCAACCACTACCAACCATGCAATTACATGCACTCTCTCTCCCTCCCTCTCTCCCTCTGTCTCTCTAGATCGCTCTCTCTCTCATAGTCATTCATGTGCATGCCTATTGGAGTTCATTCGAAGCTGGTAGAGTTGTATATCCCTTTGTGCTTGCTATCATATTGTTGCTTCTTGTCCCACCTCGAAAGCCCACATGGAAATGAGTAGGTACGCAGCTCTTTCTTTAATTTATTGTTTTTAAATACACATGTTAGGAACTGGTATTGTCTATCACCATCTAAAGATTAGTTCTCCACAAATTAATTAAATCATAAATCGTTTGATTGTTTGAGTAAAGTTACTAAAGTTTTGGTTTTTAAAAACACATAGTTCGTCTATTTATCGAATAATCATGAATAACTAAATAATTTTGAATTTAGCTATTTTTGTAAAAATGATCATAAATTTTTTTCTAGAAAATAAATTTTTTTATTATCTAACAACAATATAAGAAGAGAAAGTAGAATGAAAAAATCGAAATAAAAAGGTTGCTAACGTTCTCTTATTAATTTTAGATAAATAAAAGAAAAATTAAAAGCAGTCAATCAATTTGACAAAAGAGGACACTAAATCAAAGGGGGCTGATATGAGGTCGAGGTTACGTACGAACCTCTAAAGAGAAAGAAACTGAAAATTAGGGTTTGAGCGGCTGCATGGTTTCGTGTACTACTCTCTCTACGTTTGTAAAGTCAATCAGAGCACCGGCAATGAAGGGCTGGATTTCTCTGCAATTTAATGATCCATCCTCATGATGGAAGAAAAATCCTTTATTTTGTTTTTTTTGGTCAAGGAAAAATCCTTTATTATGATTTAACAGTGGCCGGACAAGGTTTTAAATATCTGTTGTGTATGAAATCATCGATAGCCTAATTGATGAATATATCGATAAATATTTTGATATCGACATAAAAAACTATTTGTGAAAATAATAAAAACGTTATTCAAACTTTGAAATAATGACCAAAGGTTGTAATATTATTTACTGAACTTTTTTGGAGTATTGTTTGCACTTTCTCTTATCATTTGGTGTAAGATTGATGTAAAATATCATGTAATGTATTTTTAACGATCGACTATTTATTTTTTATGTCTAACTTAAAAGATCATATATATTGCCACTTAGTACTACGGTCTAATGGTATTCATTTTCACTTGTAAGTGAGATGTCTTAGAACCACATTATTACTAGCCAATTGTGAGACTAATCTCACCCCTTAGTGTTGATAATATTGTTTGTTAAAAAAAAATCATGTCAATTAGAAATTACCTAGATTCAAAATCATATAACTGTTGGATTAAATTTAATATTTCTTTATAGTACTGTATTCATTCATTTTCACTACAAATGAATGTCTTAATGATTTTGAATTTGTTTAATTTATAAATGATGTGCTAAAATATAGATGATCCGGATCATTGAAATACACTACGTAGTGACTTAACAAAATATGTGTCAAAAGTCTATCCCTGGATCGTAGTTTTTTATAATAGCATATACACCACATATAAACATCACATAATTTGACAATTGATTTATAAACTCTTGTCAATAATAATTTTATCTCGTCAGATGTTGATTAAATATACTACTTTATGCATCACACTCTCTGACATTAAAATGGGAAAATGTTAGAGAGACTAAATTCGTGAATTAAATTTTCTAATTAAATGATATGTTACTAGTAAGAAATAAGTACGTTAATCAACGCTTAAGTAATAATTCAATCATCAACTTCCGTGTCAATTAGTTTACAAAATTTAGTCCCTCTAATATTACCCTTAAGATGTAGTTGAAAGTTAAAACACTCAACTCATCATTTTGGTCTGACATCTCTCTCTTTGTTTTCTCACAATTTGATCAATTTATTATAGAGAATTAACGTACAATATTAAAACTTCTATACGTGGAAAAGGGTTTGGAAGTTCTTTTAAAAAGATTGAAAACATTTTTGGTGAAAATGGTTTTGGAACCAATCCTTAATAGAAGTACAAGTGAATCTTGGAACAGAATTTGAAGTACTTTTGAAGCCTAAAAATATCTCTAAAAGGCTTTCAGTCATTTTTAAAAATATTTCCAAAAGAGCCCCTTAATCTAAAATTTTCAGTGAGGAAATGCTAAGGATCTCTCTCAAAAGTGAAACTTTATATGAACTCTCTACTACCTTACAATTTAACGTCAATTATCATGTCAATAATATAAAATATTATGCAAAAAGATGAGATGACAGAGAATCCCGTTTTTAAAATATTACAATTAGCATTCACATTAATGCAGGAATCCCATACCCTCACTGTACGTGCACATGCAAATTTGCGACAAGATCTCTCTTTGAGTGATATGAGTCACGCCACCACTACCAAACTCTTAACTAACGAACCAACTGTTTATTTTTAGGGATGTGATATACACACATCCATTTTTACTTATCTCATGCTTTTTTGGTTTTCGACCGTCGGATCGAATCAATTGAATAAGATTAAAGGACAAAAATTAATAAGGAATGTGTGGATAGCACATCCCTATTTTTATTATATTTCTTTCCCGCTAGGTTCTTGTATTAAATATGGGAGATGGCTTACCTACCTTCTGAACATGGAACATGGAACATGTCACATGCATATATGTACATCTTCTTCTTCCGTTTTCCTTCTCTTCCCACT